TTTATGGATGGTGTACTCTTCTATTTAGTAACAGAGTATATTCAGCTACACAGAGATTATAGTATGTTAGAGAGAAATATTGGGAGGTGATCTATGGGGTTATATATTAATTCTATTTGTGCTATTTAGTTTGCTGTTAAATCTGCCCAGACAAAGTATTTTGAGGCACAAAATCCATTTATCTTCATGTACTATTGTGTGTATATATAAGTAAAGACACCGAGTGTTAAACAAAATATGTTTCTATGGCTTATAACTTCTGGATTTATTTATAAATATAAATTTATGTACTACTTAGAATTTTGCAAAATAAAAACTTGGCATCCCCAAAAATAACTTTGCAATATTTTTAATTAAAAAATAACTTCGCAATATTTTTAATTAAAAAATAAGAATAAATATACAATAAAAATTTTTGTATAAAAAATCTATTAATTCCTTAAAAATTACTTTGTTTTGGATATGAAAAATAAATTTAGCAGATATAGACATTGAAAGTCTCAAAAACAAATGTTCATTTCTTAAATAAGGTAAGTGAGTTTTGCTTTGCTGTAATGGAGTTTTAAGGCTAAATGGTAAAGTGTATGGCTTGAAAAGACTTTCCAAGTTTAATGGGAATACAGGCTTTATTCACATATTCTTTAATAAGATTTTCAAACACATGTACCCACTAAATTTAAATCTTATAGTTATAAATATAAACAGTGGCCTACTAAACCTAAACAAAAGTTAATTTCTAAAAGCAGGATATGAAAACAAATTCATACTACACTACCTACAGACACTTCATAACAAATTAGATATCATCCCATAACCTAAATCTAATAAACTATATTTCAAAAACCTAAATTTAGACACACAGAAAATAAACAAAAATATAAATAAATTAAACAAGTTAAAGGTCAAAACTATAAATAGCCTAAAACATTCACTGTAAATAAAAAAGAAGGGAAGCACAATATCTCATTTTCATAAACCTTCAGTGGCCTACATAGGGAATACATGAAAAGCGTCATGACACATGGTCCAAAGATCACCTTAAATGTGAAATTCAGAGTCACCATACAGTGTTGATTTATATATCAATAATATCAACTATGAACTTGGACATAATATCTTGACTGTGATTTGAAAAATGAAAACATTATATAAATGCATAGATGCAACAAACTATTTCTTATTTAACAGTTAAAATATTTCATCCTTAAAAATGGCTAAATGTATAGCCGATAACGCTTGGAAAAAAAGAACATTCGGATAGTTTTTCTATAATTTATTATCTGAAAAGAAAATTATTAGATCGCATGAAAAATTGTATAAAAAACTAAATTAAAACTCCTTGTCTGTCATATCCAATGAAATGTGATGAAAGAAGGATTGCTGCCTAAATACACAAGTTTTATATATATATATATATATATATATATATATATATATATATATTGCTCTTCACAACTTCCTATACTGATAAAAAACAAAAACTATTCAATATATATTCTATTGGTCTTCCAAATAAAATATATTTTTTAACTGTTAAAATTTGAATGTTTAACTGAATCTTAATAATTGGTGAAAAAACAATCATGATAATATTACATTCCTTAAAATCACCTGACCCAATACATAAAAAATGTTGGCATATATGAAATTAATATCTTGCAAAGTCCTTACTATTAGAAGGTTTACACGTGTGAGTTTTTAATATATTTTTTCCTAATTATTATTGAAGCCTGTCTTTTCATCTTTCAAATTTGTAAACATATTTGAAGAGTCAATAATTGTCATAACACAGACACTATCACATGGTGATACCAAATCAAGAGAGATAACTAGTACAACAAAATTCTACAAGAATAGACACATATATATATATATATATATATATATATATATATATATATATATATATATATATATGTGTGTGTGTGTGTGTGTGTGTGTGACAGTGTGGACATAGGATCAAAGTCATTTTTAATGGATTGCAATACTAGAACATTAAATACTTCACTTCAATCAATGATCCACTATAGATATGTACTAAGCTCAACTTAGTCTGACACAACACCACAAATATGGAGCCATCACAGTGATAATGAACAAGCTCCAGTAATCTGTGCAGGTTTGTTAACATAGCTTTACAACAATTTCCCCAACATGCTTCTGGGAATATAAAATTGTATAATCATAGTAAATTTTATTGACATGAAAAATCAAATTAATAAGCTGAATTCAGATTTCAGACTATTGCATTAACTTTGCACAAATGCCATAGGAAGTAAACGTAACCATCTCTTCTGTTTCAGATATGCATAAAAATAATAGCGTAAACTAGGTTCTTTATACTTTGTGGGGCACCCAGTTTAAGAGCAAGACAACTCTGAATTCAAACACTCTGCCAACATGACATGGGCTAGCATGGCAGAGTAAGCCTTATCACTCTCTATATCTGACAGACAGGGGCCAATCGTGTATGTTTTTGTTAAAGATGCCAAGCTGAAATTGCTACAAAAAATATTTTTTACACAGGCAAATCTTTTCAACTGACACAAGCCTTCTTCACATTTTTTTTTTTTAAATACAACCATCAAAGAATAACCAATTCTAAATGACATGAAACAGAACTCACTACACAGACATCAACTGGCGCTTTAATCTAAACTCTGGTCAACAATATTACACTAAGTGCTTTTTACTTCCAGACACTGCATTCATATTATGCAAAAACATTTTTGGTTTGCTTGTTTTTGTTTCGCACTATATCAACCCATATGGGTTATTTGGTGCCAAAATCTAAATATTACAAACATTATAATTTATTCAAGAAATGATAATATTTCAGGATTAAATTATAATTACTTAGCTGCATTTTTTTTAACAAATAATCTTACAAAATCAAACAAAGAGTGAAAATTTGTTTCCCCTTAAAAGAAATGAGATTAATCATAGCAAATGTTTTTTTGTTTCTTTTTTTTTTTTTTTTTTTTTTTTAATTTTTTGACAATGTATGCCATGACTTCAATTTTACTATAAAATGTATTGTTGGTTATTTTTCTATAAAATGTATTTTTAGAAAATGTATTATTGGTAATTTTTTTTACTATAAAAACGTATTTTTATATTTTCCTAGTGTTTTGATTTTTGTTTGGTGTGTGTGTGGTGGGGGGGCACTGTTTACCCATAGCTGGGAACCTAACAGATGCTACCACACTAGGTCAGGGAAGACCTGAAAACAACAGCAATTAAAAAGTGGTTCCATACTCTTCATAACCTACAATGTCCCAATCAGAGGCCTTGGTGCAAGATGTTTATTGTCATACCAAGGACTATTTCATTGATGTGGAGGTCTTACCCCTCTGCAGAGATGCAATTGGAATATTCTACAGCCCCAGCAAACAGGGTTCAAATCATTTTTCTTTTTTCATAAAAAGCATTCATCTTGATCATAAAAATTCTAACCAAAACTAGTCAGGTATCTACAAATGTTTCTTTGTTTTACTCAGCTTGTTTTACTTTGCTGGAGTTGCTTTTTATCACAATATGTTCAATTAACATGCCAAAATTGAACTATATTAATACAAAGAATCTCAATTAGCTCCAGAATAAATATATATATATATATATATATATATAGCAATGCCAATACTACCTTAAATAGGTTTTAGTGAGGACTATCCTTCTTCAAACCTTGTTGACCAGCACTACAGAATTACAAACAAAGAAATGTACCAGATAATAGAATTCATATCACTTGAGGACATTCAACAATGGCAACAACTAAAATGGACAGCATATATAACTTGAAGAGAAAATGATGACATAATCAAGTTGATGTTTCATACTACTTCAAACCAAAACTTAGGAAGGAAGCAATCAATACTGGAAAAGGTGATAACAGCTTGAAAAAACTATTTTTCTGAAAAATTGTTTTAAGAGAATGATTTCAAAAATTTAAAACTGAAAACAGAATTAGCTGCTCAGTCAATGAATGCCGAATGTTTCCGTATAAAGGAAACGGCCAATAGTTCCATTACTGCTAATATGAACAATACCAATTTAGTAGTTTTATATTAATAATCAACCCAATTTGCATTAATTTAATGAAGGATAACTTCTCATGACTGTACAACATTCTACAGAGATAACTGTTACTGACAATTGTGTATTTTAGTTTTTATCTTTAGACAGTAACATGAAGAGTTTTCTGACAGGCAATTTTATTATTAAAATATACATTGAAATATACCAACAAGTTAGCTAACTTACAATTATAAAGTGGAAAAAAACCCTTAACATTTCTCAAAGTCTATGTTCATAAGCAATTAGCTTTACAATGTATAAATGTTCTATTTGGCAAAAACTACTCAAGAAAGTTAAAGATTCTCTTTCAGAGTCCGAGTTTCCAAAAATTATTTGGACTAATACCTTTATAATTTTAGCAGGTTACAAAGAACAATGTCAATGATATTAGTCCGATTAATTCATAGAATGCTCAGATTTTAGAAAATAATTACTATTCTATTTGTGTATGCTGAAAGCTTAACTTTTAACAAAAAAAGATTTAAGTTCTCATCAAAAGTATAATACATCAAGGAAACACCGCATGGGTATTATTTTGTCAAAATATGAAATAATATATATATATATATATATATATATATATATATATATATATATATATATTTTTGGTTGGATAGATGTGATATAAACATATGCATGGTGGTTCTTCCTACAAAGGGGACTTAGGTTTGAATCCTGCTAGAGGGCTCATTCTCTTTAATAAGTTTTCTCAAGTATACAGACCAGTAGACGAAATAAATACTGTTTAAAATAAATGGAGCTTCTACTCAAATATGAGTGTCCACTAAAAATAATGTTTGAAGTAATAAAAATAGAAACAAATATACATACATGTACAGACGTGTGCGTATATATATATATATATATATATATATATATATATATATAAATAAACAAACATTACATAATGTGTTTCTACTTACTGACACTGTCTCCATCTATATGAGGAGTTGCAATAGATATGGCACCATTGTGATTTTTATGAACAACTGCGCCATTCCGTTCAAACATCATAATTTCAGGTTTCACCACACTTCTCGTACAACTGCTGGAAAAAAAAAAAATTGAAAGAAAAAATTAGCTTTCAAAGAGTAATTTTTTTAAAACTCAAAGTTAATTATTGTTGCTAGACATCTTTTTTTTAAAAAAAAAAAAAAAGAAAAACGTCAAATAAAACTAAAAATAACAAGTAATATTTTTTCACTCTTCATTTGTGTATGTGTGTGTGTGTGTGTGTGTGTATATATATATATATATATATATAAAAAGGCCAAATGAAATTAAAAGCTCATAAGTAGGAAAAATATTTGAATGTCAAATGAATTAATTAGATAATGAGTTGGCAAGTAATAATATTCTTTATTTTAACTTTCTAGTCTATAGAATATATAATGCATTGGCCAAAAAGTCAATTCTTTTTTTGGGGATTAAGAACATTTAGTTTTAACTAAATTCATTAGAAAAAATTGCTTTTGCCAGTTTTGTGCTAGTTGTCCAAACAGTATGTAAAATTAGTTAAACTTAGTTATTGATTTTAACATTCAAAATAGAAGGAAAGTAATAATATTGTGAGGATATGATGCATTTTTTTCATTTTTTTTAAATTAAAAAAAAATAAACTCAAATGGAAAGAAAATTGTCCAGTTTATTGAGAAGACTCTTTGAATAATCAAATAAAGTGGTTTGCAAAACTTTATACTCAAGATTTATTTCTTAATTGTTCCTGGTCGGGTAAACCAGTTGAGATTGATAGTATTGAAATCAAGATATTATTTGAGAATCAAAAGCATTATACTAATACTAGCAGCATGGCCTGGCGTTGCCCGTGTTTGATTCAAAAATCGTACAACTCATACAGCAATCGCTATCACTTGACTTAAAATATTTTTGCCCTTCCTTGCCTTTAAAAGGGTGCACTTTGCCGTGCTGATGTTGCTACATGCCTTACTTCTTGCCTATCTCACACTAATTTTTTCTAAGCTCTATACTAAACATTAAATCTGTTACGAAAAAAGAACTAAATAAAATGAACACAAAACGATCAACTTTAAAAAAAAGGACTCGTAACTGGAAGAACAAAAAAAAAAAAAATTAACTTTCACATTTTGACTGTACACATGGGTTTCATTTGGACACCATGTGTATTTAAAGTAGTTTCCGGTTATTATTTTTAGTTAGGAGGACTTGTGTATGTTTAGGTTTCATTTGTTTACTTTTTGTGTATCGTTCTCTGAAAAAAAAAAAAAAAAAAAAAAATGAGTCACCGGAACTTAACGGCATTCGGACGTTTACGTAGCCGGCAGTAACTTCCAGCTGGGTGCGATACACTTAACTGTGCTTTCAAATTGATTTTGTGCAAAAACAATTGTATTTTTCTAATTCTTGGCGCTGTCAGAACCACCGCAGGGTAATTTTACGTAGTCCTGTGAAGTTTTGTTGAAATTGGTTGAAAAATGTAGGAAATCCGATCCCATATATAAATGTACAGACACACACACACACACACACACACAATCTGCGTTTTATAATAAGTAAGATGTTGTTCAATATAACTAATGTCAGAAATAATAAAAATGTATTTTTACATAACTAAAACATTTTATATTATCTGTTACACATACCCACTTGCATAAAATTACCTGTCAACATATATACTTTTATATATGCATTCAAATAGTAATATTATACACAGTTACAGATATATTTATTACTTCATATATCTTGAAGCAATTTCTAAAGAATTAATGGATTTATTTTTTATACTGATATTTAAAATAGACACCCCACCCCCATTTCTAAGGCATACCAGATCAAATATTGGTTTCTCCTACAACAGCAGATGTAAGTTCAAATTCTACTGAAAGAGAACATTAAAATTTCTTGGATGCTCCACCAGATGTCAAAAAACTGAAATAAAGACGGCATGTTTATTTTTATTTTATTTTATTTTTTTTTTCAAATATGAGTATCCACTAAAAATATTTGAGGTAAAAAAAAATATTATAAAGTATAGCTTGAGCGCTTACCAAGTATATATTTTTGACTTTTACAAAGCCAAACCACTTCCTTTTTACTAAGTGTAGACAAGAAGTCATCATAAAAGAAAACTTGACTGAATATTAAAAAATAATCTCTTTCTGAGGCAAAGTTGAACTTATGAGGTTAAAAATCATATTTTTAGCAATCAATGTTGCTTGAGGTATTGTCTTTCTAAGCTTAATAGGATTAGGTTAACTATCATCTGGTTCATACTCCTTCCTGGTTTTTTTTAAACAGGAGTAGAGGTTTACCCCTTGTTTCTTGTTTAGGATTGGGTTTCTGGTTCCTTCTAAATTATACTTCAGCTCTATACTGCCAACGTCTGGGCCTAAATTCTGAAATTTTGCAACATGCTGACACATGTTGAAATCCTTACAGTATTTAGTATTGTTAAATTTATTGCTAACATTTTTGTCAAGATTTACAAACTCTACATTTCATTCAATTTTGCAAACTAATCGATGAAATTTGAATAAGCTGATTTGTTTGGAAAAATACTTTGACAAAAACCCTCCTTTGCAGTTTAATATTTCTTTAATTTTATAGGACTTCATGATAAACAATATTTTTTAATTTGGTTTCAATATATAGCTACTTTAAAAGGGGTGACTGTTTATTTGTTTGTTTAATGTTTAACGACCTATCAATCTTTAAAAAGCGGTGACAGATGGACTAACAGAAATCACAGAATTTTATACATAAATTACTGGGTTTTTGGTTCCTTCTAAATTTTTTTTCGTTCTCTTTCACTTCCAGCAGCCCCTTGCATCTTAGTGGCATTATCATCTTGCTTGGGGTGAATTGATTAAAAAAGTGTTCAAACCATATCATATACAAATATACAGTATTAATATTAAAATATAATAATTATTTCTGAAAATTAAAATGTGACATTATACAGTCTTTCAAGGGAAAATGATGAAATTATTTTAAAGGGTTATAAAACTTAAATATATATAAAGGTAACAAAAGACACGTGAAAAATATTTTAAACATGTAGGGCAGATGCTGAGAATACCATGAACTAAATATGTGAGCAATGAGGAAGTTTCAAGGAAATTAGGAACAACAAAGACATACACAATCAGAAAGAGATAGTTGAACTTTCTGGGTTCACAATGAGGACAGAAGGCTTGGAGAATTTAATACTTACAGGATATATCAAATTCAGGAAAGAATGGAGAAAATAATCAATTTGTGCCAAAGGATGGCAAAGTAGAGCAAAGGTAAAGAGTGAAAAGTTTCTTAGTGCTAGAAGAGAAAGGAAGTTGGGGAGTGCCATGATTGCCAACATCTTGAAGGGAAATAACACATAAAAGAAGAGTATATCACTATTTTTAATTGTTTTAAAAAATCTTTTCAGAGACTTAAAATAGAAAAATATAACTAAAGCATTTATTTTTACAAGTGGATATATATTACAGTATGTACAAGACACTGACATTAACTGCAGTTCTTGATATACAGAAAGTCTTCAGGTTAAGAACATCTGACTTACAGACAATGCATACTTACAAATGAAAGCTTATTTCATTAAAAATGTGAATTAAAAGTAGCCGTTTTTCCATCATCTTTATCTGCATCATCCAGTTGTTACTTCATAAATGCACTATCTGGTATGCAAGATATCGATAGAACAAGGGGAAACGTTAACATTAAATCATAATCTTTTGTTTCTTTTTTTTATCTAAACTGTTTTAAGAACTGATTTTTGAATACTTTTAAAGTACTATATGCCTAACTATAGGTATTCCTTCTCTATCCCTCCAGAACAATTCAGTAAAATAAGTTATATCATCATAATAATACTAATGTGGATGTGCAGGGGATCATCGTAAATGGACAGTGGCTCAGTATGAGTACTACTAGTTATAACATTGTTATTACAATGATTCTGCTTTAATGAGTATTCACACTAGTAGTAACTTATGACTTACTACAGAAATAGAATGATAGCAAGCCTCTTAAATACTCTAGCACTCTTCTCAGAGGTGCTTTTAATTCTTAATTATTGCATCTTTAAGATTCCTCATTTATACTGGACAATTTCCTCACAGATGAAAAGACTGGAAGCAACAGAAATGTGATTCTACTGAAGGATGCTGAGAATAACATTGACAGAGTGAATGAGTAATGAAGAAGTCTTAAGGAAAATGAACAACAAAACTTCTTAGATAATGAGAAAAGAGAACTTGGAGAATTTGACACTCATAGGATATATTTGAGGGCAAAAGAGACAGGGAAGTCAGCAAGTCACCTACATGACCAGCTTAATGGTCAATGAATGGATGATGCAACATGGGGCAGAGTTGGACATATGGCAAAAAGACTAACGTTACTAAGAGCTATTAGTGATAGAAAGTTGCAGAGAATAATGGTTACATGTCCCTTCAGATGTTTAAGATATTCTAGTGTATTTAGAAACAATTTTAAGTGGTTTATATGCAAAGAAGTAAGACATATACTAAGACACTGATTTAGCTGGCACAAAATAAACCATGTGTACCTGTTTCTGACTTACCTACAAATTTGACTTTAAGACAAGGCTTAGAAATTAATTTTGTTTGTAACCCAGGTTCTATGTATTAAACTATAAAATTGAAAACAAGCTGTAGTCTGATGAGATATATTTTTTAATAGGTTACTTGACATATTGCCTACAGAATTAAATACCAAGTGACTGTGGTATACTTTCACTATAGCTAAGCAGGGATAGCTTGATAAACTATTATGGTTTTCAGCTTTTTACAGTTTCCCCATCACCAGAGAAAAATTATAGTAAAATATCTATGAGATAAAAATACTTTAAAACTAAATATAATAACACAAATAAACAAAGTTGAGGAAAGGTTTTCTTATTCAATATTTTAACAGAAAACTCTAGAAAAACAAACCTTTTTACAAACTGTTTTGGAATCTGTGCATATGGATATAATATCTAAGAAAGTATCTTTAATTTCTGTTTGAAATTAGGTTAAAGTCAATTATCCTATATTTATTCTCCTGAGA